CACACACACACACACACACACACACACACACACACACACACACACACCCTGTACCTTGCCCTACATCTTTCTTCCATTTGGCTGTTTCAGACTTGTATTCTTTATAATAGACCAGTGATAGTAAGTAAAGTGCTTTCCTGAAATCTGTGGTTACTCTAGCATTATCGAACCTGAGTGGGGGTTGTAGGAACCCCCAATTTATAGCTGGTAAGTCAGAAGTACCAGTGGCTTGGGATTTGCAATTGGCATCTGAAGTGGGAATAGTCTTGTGGAACTGAGCCCTTTAACTTGTGAGATCTGACACTGACTCCAGGTAGATGGTGTCAGAATTGAATTGATTCTCGGTTGGATACCAAGTTGGAGTCAGAGAATTGGAGAAATGGTTGGTGTAAGGAGAATACCCACACATTTGGAGTAAGAAGCATTGTGAGTGAAAACAGCTTAATGCTGAATTATGAAACTTGTGGAATGATACAAAGTTGTATAGAAATTCTATTCTTTTTACGGAAAGAAATAAAGAATAATAGACTTATTCAGTGCTCTGTTTTCGTATATTTTAGTCTTATCACTATCATTTATTATTATTAGTTACTCATTTATCAGATATTGGTTGAATATTTTACAGCTAAACAGAACCAGTACTGCCTTCTTTGAGTTTATAAATTTAAAGTTAACTCAAAATGAATTGCTTGCAGCTCCATTGTGTTATAACAAACCTGCCTCTCAGCCTTGTATATTGTTACTGTTTATTTAATTGATGGTGATACTTGCAAATAAATGATTACTACGTTTGAAATAGAATATACTTTGGAGTATACCGAAATGGAACATATATAATAATCTCTTACCAAACCATCAAAATGCCACTAATGAAAGTATGTGTGTGTGTGTGTGTGTGTGTGTGTGTGTATGCCATTTCTGAGAATGAATTCTGTATTTTTTAACTATAGGATGAAGAAGGCACAAGTAATTTTATGGTTTTTTTGTTTTGTTTTAAATCTTTAAGGCATTTAATATTTTGTTAAGGTAAAGTAAACAACAGAACCACCAGCAATTTTGTGTAATTAGTTAGCTAAAAACAGGTTTTAAAATTGTCTCTTTAGCAATATACTCATTTACGAGAAGCTGTTAACATCATGTGCAACTCTGCTACTGCAGAGACTTAACTTATCCTTCTGACTCTAGGAAGAAACCAAGTTTAGGAAAATTGATAGTAACTATTCTTGAGACTTAACAGCCAAGTCATACTTTTTATACTCCTCACTGGCTTGGAACAGTGTTTAGTTAATAAACATTCCTTCCAGGGTTGTTCAGTTTGCTGCTGACTGCACTGATGATGATTTGTTGGACAAATAAGGAAGTAAACACTGCAAAGTTTTTTGGCTTCTGCTCTGTTAAAAACATAGAAGAGAAGGGTAAGAAGTTCCTGCCCGGTAAATAAGAAAGTCTAGGGAATCAGAAGCATCTTTCAAATTTCTTACAGTGGAGGAAACAAAAGCTACTTTTAGTGTATTTGGTATATTAGTATGCTCTTCTTCAAGTATGGTCTATATTTTAAGAAAGTGTTGGGCTGTATTTATTTCTCTAATAGACTTCCTATTTGCCTAGAAACATCCCTACATTTACGTTTAATTTCATTAGAGGTGATGCCTGAACCAATCATTGCTACTTCCTCTTTGACAATGCCAGGGAAAAAAGGTAGAATCCAATGATGATAGGCAAAAGTAATCACCCAGGAACAGAAAATACTTAAAGAAAACCTCCCTTTGCAGTGTTTATCTTATTTGTTAATGAAATAAAAGTTTGCTTTTGTGAGACAAGGGGGAGATAAAGTTTAAAGTTTAATAAAGTAGTCCTAAAGTTTAAACTTGAGGTCTTTATCTCTCTCCCTCCCTTCTTTCCTCTTCCCCTCCTCCTTTCTTTTTTCTCTACTCCACCCCACACTCCTGCCCACCCATACCCCACCCTGTATCTCTCCCTTCCCATACCTTGGTTTATGCCATAGTTGTTAATTATATGGTAGGCCTGTTTCCCTCTCCTTAGAATTTTTTTGAGATCTCAAATCTTGTTGGAGTTACTTTTGTGGCAAGGTTTTTAACTACAAATTTAGTATTGTTAATAGATATCGGGCTATTTATTGAGGGAATATTGGTAGTTTGTGTCTTTTGAGGAATATGCCCATTTCATCTAAATTGATGAATTTACTGGCATAAAGTTGTTTATATTCCATTATTGTCCTTTATGTCATATCATGTTCTTGATATTGGTAATTTTTGTCTTTCATTTCTTGGTAGTCTGGCTAGAGATCTATCAGTTTTATTTTAAGAAAACAGCTCTTGGTTTCTTTGTTTTATCTTTTCTCTCTATTTCATTGATTTCTGTATCTTTATTATTTCCTTTTTTCCACATACTTTGGTTTTAATTTGCTCTTTTCCTAGTTTCTTAATACGAAAGCTGAAGCCATTAGAGATTCTTCTTTTCTAATGTAAGCATTTGGTGTTAAGAATTTCCCTTAAGCACTGCTTTAGTTGTATCTCACAAATTTTGCTATGTTGTTTTCATTTTCATTCAGTTTAAAATACAGTTGACCCTTAAACAGCGTGGGGGTTAGGGGCGCCAGCTCTCCCTCCCCTGTCCTACCGCTTGCACAGTTGAAAATCCACGTGTAACTGATTCCCCCAGAACTTAACTACTAGTAGCCTACTGTTGACTGGAAGCCTTACCGATAACATGAATAGTCAATTAACACATATTTTATATGTTACATATATGTACTGTATTCCGACAATAAAATAAACTAGAGTAAAGAAAATGTTATTAAGAAAATCATAAGGAAGAGAAAACATTTACAGTGTGTACTATGTTTATTAATATCGTAAGTTTACATTATCTGTTTACAAGATAAATTGTCAGTACCTGTGTCAATATTGTCTTAGTGATACAAAACACTGTACGTATTATATGTATTACTAACACTAGACATCAAAGATGAAAGTTAATGTGGAAAAAGAAATTCATATTTGTTTACAGGTCTAACAATTCATGCATTGGTAATGAAGCAGCAGCAATATGATTGCTTTACAGTAGTCTAGTGTAATTGATACAATCGCTTCACAATAGCTTAGTCTTTATGCTAATGAATGAATTGTTATAAAATTTTTATGGCATACAGTTTTAGTCGTATTTATAATACAGTATTGGAAACATTGTTATATTTTCTAAAAACTATTTACCTCTGATGATAGGCTGATAGTTTCTCCAGTTGAGAGAGGGTGGGAGGGGGGCATACTGTACAGTAATGTAATTCTTTGAAAGCAAAGTTATAAAACAGTAGGAAAACCAACACATTATTAATTTTATATTAAATAGCACTCACCTTATGCCTGTATAAATATGGATAGAGTAGTACCTACATATTTTATGCATTCATGACTTACCTCACCTTTTCTTAATTTTCTTGACATTTCTAGGCTGTGTGGTTCATCTGCGAGTTTTTTCAAACTGTTGAAAATCTCCAAAAAAATTTCTAATATATTTATTGGAAAAAACATCCACATATAGGTGGACATGTGCGGTTCCAACCTGTCTTGTTCAAGGGTCAGCTGTACTTAGGCATAATGACACATTTTTCTTTCCAACCCTGATAACTTTTTCCCCCTTGTGTTTAATCTCTGCCAGGATCTTTAGAAAAAGATTGCCATGGCATAATTATAGTGGATAACCCTGTGTAGTTCATGATCCCAGAAGAAATGCTTTTTACATTTCATTGTTAAATATATTTTTGATCTGGGGTTTTTGGAGATTCTGTATCAGATTCCAAGATTCCTAAGAGTTTGTGTCATAAATGGGT